TGAAAATAACAAACAAAATTATAAATATGTTTCTTTTATTTATTATAATATTATTTTTGCAATATATAAGGAACTTTGACTTTCTTTTAGAATGACATAACATAATTCTGTCTTTTTAACTTTATTACTATTACAATTTTAAATATTAATTAAAACTAAACCAATTTTATCTTTCTTACTAAATAAAAAAAAATATTATTATATTATTTATAAACAATCTTTTTTTAGTTATTTCAATGAATAAGTTGAGAATAAAGTATCTTTTATCTTCATCTTCCTTAACTTAATTTATTTAATATGTATTTTATATATGTAAATTAACCAAAAGTAATAAAAAATAAACTTTTTTTTTAAAAAAAAAATTTATATACTTTTTTTTATTTATTTTTGTAATTTTATTTTTAAAAAAAATACTTTTAAACTGCATAAATAATGTAATATTAAATTGATTTAACCAACTAATTATATAAAAGTTAACTTATTATTACTTAATAATTTATTAACTGTTTTAATATTACAAATCTATAAAATTTTATTAAAAAAATTTTACTACTGAATTAAAGTTAGGTTTTTTTAATACCAAAATTTCACAAGAAAAACTTTTTGCTAATGCGCAGAAAATGGCTTCATAAGTAAAATGTGAGTTATGATTTTTTGCATTTCTTCCGTGTAACACCTAATCTTGAAATCGAGTTGAGCATCAAATTTTTTAGGTTGATAATGCTAGAACAGTTGTAATATACCTGGTAAATTACCAAAATCCTCGATAACCATGAAGTTTGCCATTCTGAGATTAATGCTGACCAAAATTAATGATGTTAAGTAGTTCAGATGAACTAATTCGTTTAAAGAGAAATTAACTAGTTCAGATGAATTAGTTCGTTCAAAGAGAAATTAGCTATAAGTTCTTTAACTGGTTTTATAATCTAGTTCATAAACTTGGTTTATAAATCCAATTAGTAAAACTGATTTAGAAATCCAGTTAATGAGTGTATAATAATTACCATAAACCTTATACCTATATATATATATATCGTATACATATATTGCCTTTTGCTTATATTATGAGTTATGCAGATATGTATATAGAATCTTCTATTATTCAATAAACTTAGGTCCATGAATTCGAATTCGAATTTGAACTTCAAAGCAAACTTGGTTTTATGCTTTAAGTTTACAAACTCAAGAACAAACTTTAAAGCTAAACTAAAGTTTATGAACTTTAGTTTTGAACTTCAGTTTTGAACTTCTTGAAACTAAACCAGAACTGAACTGAGCGAACTACTTAACATTCCTAATCTTAACTCCGCAGTAGTTTGGTAACTTCCCATAACTTTCCCGGTAACTAACCATTTACAACCCTGATTGTAAACCAATATAGACAGATTTGTCTGTATTTTTTTATAACAACTAATAATTCTTATTTCTTACATTGTCTTACAGACAAATATTCCGCAAATCGTCATGATTGATCTGTGTCTTACAGACAAATTTTCCGCAAATCGTCATGATTGATCTGTGTCTTACAGACAAATTTTCCGCAAATCGTCATGATTGATCTGTGATCGAGCTTAAAGTTGCTGGTAAAAGTAAAACTCTTGGTGAATAGTGGTAAAACTAGTAATAATTTTTAATATAACAACCAATCAGATTTAGGTGGTTACCAATTTTACTAGCAACTCTAATCGAAAACTGTTAAATCGTAATTTATTTCAGTATTAATATTATAGACGATATAGAGAGATAATAAAAAAAGTTTTTTATAGAGTAACTTACTATATCTTTATATTGAACTCTATAATTTTTTAAAAAAAGAAAAAGTTCGTTATAAAGTTTGTTCGTTATATCAGAATTAATAGTCTATCATTTAGTATCTACAGCACATTTTAATAGGTTAATTATCATGTGAATGAATATGGCCAATCGTAAGGAATTATTCAATTTGATAATCACGAGAATATGTAAAAATATAAAATAAATATATAATTTTTGCTATTACTTTACAAACAGACAAAAATAACATTATATGTACAAGATTATACGTACGTATACAGGAATGAGGTTTTTTTTTTTTTTATTACGTCTTTTGATATTGTATTTCGGTGTTACTGTATTACTGTATTAGACAATATAAAATTAATTAATTGTTTCTCGTAACGTATAGATTTAAAATAACCCGCCAACCCATAAAAATTGTCTTTTTTTTTTTATCTAGAAAAATGTAGTGTTTACCCGGAAGTTCTTAAAAAAATTGATTTACATCAATAAAAAAAAAAAGATAATGATTTCATTTTTAAATTATAGTGGAATGAATATAAATATATATATATATAAGATTGATTTGTTCAAAGAAAATGCAACGTGATCACAAATTCGGAAATTGAGATGATTCTAAATCGTTTGGTAACTAAAGAAATACTTTAGTTATTTTTAAAAGGGTCAAACATTTTAAAACAATGATTTAATTATTTACATTGTTTAAAATTAGTGAATTCTGCCCAAGCATGTCCTAACTAGTTAAGACGCCATCTTTACTTTTAATGTCGACGAATCTAAGCGATGTATCTAAACATCCAATAATGATAACGCATATATTTCAGGATCATCTGACAACAGGAATGATCAGTAAACAACAAAGTAATGTTTTTGTTTTAGTACGTGGCATTTCACATTAATCCAAAAAAAAAAATAAAAAATCTCAACTATTATCTATTTCACAACTGAAACAGTGATTTACCAAGTATGACACGAGCGAAAATCGAAATTCAGTTGGCGTGCACGAACGTAATGGTTTATATCTGTGGGTTAAAATAGGTACAATTTATTATTATTTATATATGTAATATATACAGTACATATATAATTAGATGCAATGTCAAAATCACGTTATCGAAAGACAGTGCGCATGATTAACATATATACAGTATATAACGCACGTTTTATTAAAATAGATATTGGAGTATAAACTGCCAACGAACAAAAGCTAACGGCCAATTAGATGCACGTATCCGACTTGTAAAAAAAAAAAAACGAAAAAAAAGAGAAAAAAAAAGCAACTTACATTTATCAGCAAATATTCTCATATTGACATGTATCACTGCGTAGTATCAACGTCTATTCATGCAGAAACATCAAAAATTTAACAACATTATTGATAAAAATGAGAATTGGCACGTGTAGAAACCTTTTACTGGAAGATGTTTACCAGAAGCATTGAGGCGAGCCTTTGAGGCTACTTTACATCTTTTACCTTTTTTGTAATTATCATACATAATGCAATATTACAATATAATATTTAAATAATATATAGATATTATGTAGATATTATGCAGATATTATGCAGATATTATGTAGATATTATGTATATATATATAATGTATATATTATGTATATATATAATGTATATATTATGTATATATTATGTAGGGTACATTAAATATACATAACAATTATATATTTAATTGTATGATATACTAAGCATTCTAATTTCGTTAGATCGTTGGATTATGTAACTGGTGGTTCGTGTGATGTTTGTTAATGGTGTTTTGTGTATTCTGTCACAAAAACAACTAATACTTATTAATTACATACATACATACATAATATATATATATATATGTATATGTATATATATATATATGTATATATATATATATATATATATATATATATGTAAGTATATACATTAATTTTAAACAGGAAGCCGAAAATTAAAATAGGAGTAGTGGGAAATTATATAGATGGTTAAAGTAGATATAGAATAATAAATTTGGATGCTTATTGTGGTTTTAAGCGGAAATATTCTTTATTACATTGGGTAGCCAAGAAAGTCTTGGGTTATATGCAAATTGGATACAACATTGGGGAGGAATATCAAAGTGGTTAAGTAGTATTTTCAGCTTAACGCCGTAAATTACCAAGTTTGAATATTGTTTGAATCATTTCGGTTGGATTACATAGAACAATTTATTAAATTAATAAATATAAACAAATTGAAACTCGTTAGAACGAAGCGGTGCAAAATGATAAAGTTTCATTTAATCAAAAGTAGTATCATGGGTGATACCAAATTGATAAACTTTATATAAATTTAAAATCAAAAATTCTGATTTAAAATATATGAATAAAATATATACAGTATATATGCTGGGATCTTTATCCGAAACATCAGCTAAAAGCATTTACAAAGGACGATCTATCTAAATGAAGGAAATTAAGTTGAACTTTGACGTTACTTATTATAAAAAAAAAAGCACAGGTAACCTATTTTGTTATCCGGACAAGCCCCTTTGCTGCGGAAATTCATAATGACTGCAGCCATTGTCTTTGTTTTATTAAGAGTACACCAGGTATAAAATGCGCATCAAGATTGGATAAAAGCAGATAACAGGAATATGACAGGTCTATGCCATTGTATTATTTTGGTATTTATTTATGTAGTTCTTTTTGTTATCTGATATTCCAAATTATTTAATCAAGGAATGATGAACAAATTTTGTTAAACCCTGATTTGATGCCTAAGCAAGTAATGCAATGCGAAATATACGTTTCTTTCTGCAAATTGACATATTCTAACAATGACAACATTCAACACTCAATAACGGTAATTCAATACTTCATTACTGTAAACCTGTAAATATGTAAATATGAGTACAAGAAGAAAACAGCTTTTAATTCGTAATTGTATATACAAAATTTCATATGATTCATACAATGATTCATATACTGAATCTTTTTTTTTTTTTTTGTTTTTATATACAGTCTATATATCTATAATAGAAATTCTAATCTACACTTAATTATTCTAAAAACTTAATTGTGTTGTTAATGCTTAATTATTTTTAAAACTTATTCTAATTTTCATATGTATTTTTGCTGTCTGATTTTCCTTTTTTTTTTTTTTTTTTCTTAATCAGCAGACTTTCATAATAGCACCATGTCAACGTCACCCCAACTCTAACGGCGCACCAACCTTCCAACTTGACCACCATTTTTTCATATTAACAATATTGACGTTGTCGACAATGAATCCTATAAGCCCAAGATTCTAATTTATCATTAATACGAATCGGTCGACAATTATATACACTAGCGTGTTTTAAATTTTTAAAAGTTTTGTGATGATTATGGTTAAGTAAAGGAGAGATCATGGTATCATTTATGTTGTAACAATCAACAATGTCTAATTTTTCTAATTTTGAGCAATACTTTAAAGTATCCCATTTACAACATCCTTCAAAATCGATACCTCGAAATCCAACATGTCGTAATGTACGTTTTTGTTTTTCCAAAGATGGAATTATAATGTTGGCGAATTTTTTACATCTTGATAAAATTATACGTTTAAGTCCTCGTTGATTTTCTATGAGTAAAGCAAGTTTTTTTGCTATGAGCATTGAAGATCCATCATTCACGCTCAGGTTATTAATTCTAATTGTATTCTTGAAATGATTTAAAAAAAAAAAAAACATATTAGTAAATCATAAACTTTATAAATAAAATAAAAAAATATAATTTTTTACTATATAAAATAAATTAATATATACCAAATGCTGACATTGCTTGATGAGAGCACCCAAGAGATTGACCTTTGGACAACTTTCTGCAGTATTTAATCTATCAATTGAATAACAATTGATGTATAAATTTTTTAATGGTTTGATCAAAGGACAAATCGCGGGTTCAGTCAATAGCATATATTTTTCTTCACAACTAGTACTTCTAATACTCAAAGTGTTCAAGTGAGCAGACCTTGCGACAAATAATTTTAAAATCGATCGCAAAATTGCTGAAACGCTTTCCTCGGTACCATCCTCTAAGTAAAATTTACACCAACTTTTTACAAATGATATCATTTCAAAATAATCAAAATTTTTTAAAAAGGTTGGATAATTAAAAACGGGTAAATCATATTTTCCTCCAGGGACATATACACCATCGTTATATAATTGTTGACGTTCAGAATTGTCAAGACAAGAGAGAAAAGTTTGTATTAAAAGCTCTCCACCTCGTTTATGACAACGATGAAAAGGATGACGCCAAAGGATGGGTATAACACTTTCACACCAATGACTATTGACTAGTAAACATGAAAACAAACTACTATAAGTTTTAGGATTCGGTGAACCAAGAATTTCATCTCGGTCATCCAAATATTCAAAAACTTCTGAAAGAATATCAGATATCAACATCAAATTTAATCTATATTTTTATATAATATATATATATATATATATCTTCAATGTGTCTATTAAAAAAAAAAAAAAAAAAATTATTTGACAAGCTGTCAAGAATAAAAAAGAAAAGAAAAAAAAGCAAGGGTCTATTAAATTTATTATAACATTTTTTTTTGAGCAGTAAGTGCTCGGACAATGTTTGTTAAATCAGCATCAAAATTTATTCAATTTATTCAAATATCAGGTTTATGTAATAGCGCGCTAAGATACACAAAGTTTCCAAATATATAATGTCAGAATGTAATTAAGTACGAGAAAAAAAAATTACAATATTCACAATACAAATTTTTTTTTTTTTTGATATATATAAAGATTAGCAATACAGATACTATTTTAACAAATCAAGCGGTTGAATAGGATTAGTTTATGTGGCAAAATGGAGAGGACAAAGACTCTACAAGAAGAAATTGATCCCCAACCCGCGCCAAAGTTTTTTTTTTATAATTTTTTTTTTTCTTTTTTTTTTTTTTTTTTTTATGCGGGGTAAAATAGGTCAGGTGGCCATTGTACATACTCCACTGGGCTTAATGCAGAATCATAATAGTTTTTGATAATGGGCGTTTTCCCCTTTCTTGACAAATCATTTTAACTGATTTTTGCATTTTTAAAGAATACCTATCAAGACTAGCATTTAGAGAATAATCCGTACCTAACAATTAAAGCAAGAAAGACATAGTAATATACATTTACTTTCACACTTGTTGTACATAAATGCGTGTGTAATGTCACCATACGTATTTTTCAAATAGATGAAAGGATTCTTCACTGAAAAGAAGAAGAAAAAGGCTGGTATTTGCAAAAAACGCTAATGCATCGACAAGGATAGAAAAATTGCCCCTGCATCCCAAATTTCCTTTTGTTAAAACTGCATCGGAAGAATGATCTTTTATTATCTATTATTAAAACTGTCAATCTTCTTTGACAGATTGATAAAAAAAATCAATGAATGATTTTAGTAACACCTATATCATCTTTACATACGAATACATAGGTACTCACATACGTACGAATTCTAACCGAATGATCACCGTCAACTTTACTGATGATCATGATGCAAGTGAAAAGAATACGTTAATAGATGACTGCAGTATTCATAAGTACTCAAGTTCTAACAATGGAAATTGTGGGGCACAAACAAATTCTTTCTTTTTCTTTTATGGTGACTAAATTTGATTCTAATATCAGCATCAGTTGTTTCGGAATTAATTACAAACCTTTACTCCACAAACATTATTAAATAATCATAACAAGAACACAACTGTTATACCAAAACATTATTTGAACTTATTAACGTTTTTGTCTCTCTCCTCTTTCTTTTAGAGGACATGATTCTCGAATATAAAACCTTGTTTTAGGAGTTAGTATTTCATAATCCAAATAGGAAATGTTCCGTATTGTGTGATTCAACTTGTATTTCCGTTCTCAACCGATAATGAATTTCTAATTTTAACTTTTTTGTTATAATTTTGGTGAATTGCCATCATCACCATCATCACCATCATCACGATCATTACATAATCACCATCAGCACAATCATCACGTGATTGGGCAGGAAACAAGGAATTTTGACAAGAGATTATCATGTAAAAAATTTTCCGCTCTTTCGACATTGGAAAAAAAAAAACTTAGATTTAGACGAATATTACAGATATATGTCGAATACACTTAACTCGAAATTGATAACGAACATTCAAGATGTATGCTGAGTTACGTTTCAGTCACATATGTACTAAATTGGATTGTTATTAATAGCCGTCAACTGTCGATCAATAACATTTATCCCCTTCTTTTTAATACAATAAACAACGGAAAATATATGCGCCTATAAACTTGATTATATGCGTTTTAGTAAAAAAAAATTTATATATATATAATTTCAAACTATTTACTTTACCCGATATAACTTTTACCCATATGAAAGTTCTGAATCCTTTGAAGTTGACATTAAATATAAAATCATATGCGTTATAAAAAAAATGCACGAGTTTTTAGTCGTCAGTGAAAGCAATTTTTTTGGTTGGTAAATATTTTATAAATTTATTTGTTTAATTATTTAAATACAGATCCCAATATACATTAGATACCGTATCAGGAATGTATGCTGTCATTTTTCCGAGACCATTTGATACACTACTGATACACTGCTGATACACTACTTGGATTATTTGATGTTATTGAATTACAATAATTTATAAACTAAAATATCATATATTTTGTTACCAAATAGCATTTAGCTTAAAGATCAGCTGATTTCAATTATTCAATTATTTCAATTAACTTCAATTACATAATTATATAATCAATTATCCAATTAAATCAATTATCCAATTAAATCAATTATTCAATTATTCAATTATTCAATTATTCAATTATTCAATTATTCAATTATACAATTATACAATTAATCAATTCTTCAATTCTTCAATTGTTTCAATTGTTATCAACTGTTAATTGTTATCGTTAATTGTTGTTTCCCCATAGAAAATAACTTAGACGCAATCATGCATTGAATATGATAATCATTTTTACAAACAATAGTTTTTTTCGTAACCAATCTAATCAACTTTTGTATAATTTCAAAAAATGCATGGAGTATCCATGGTGCAGTTGTAACCAACAAATAGAACATTGGATGTCGATTGTATTTTTAGACGTACATACGTCATGTACATACGTCATGTACGTACGTAAGTACAAAAGTTCGCAATAATCATTGTCATTTCTAAAATCTCTCCAACTTTCACTCAAAATATGTTGACATAAATGTGATTTATTTAATAAACAATATTACATAATTCATTTAAAAAGCGATTTCCTCAATTTGTTATGATCGATTTATTAGGTTTGGTACAACTATAAATTTCAACAAAATTCCTAATATTTTAAATTACACACAATATCTCTACGTATTGGTTTATTGAAATGTCGAAACTTTGAAATTTTTTTTAAAAATCTTAATTTATATTGTTTATAATTTTCATGATTTTTAACAGCTTCTGATTCATATACATTAATTATATCAAAAAGAATTAGTATCTAATTCGTATGGTTCACTCCGCTTATACTCTTTAAACCAAAATTAAGATATCTAATCTTTCTCTTAGATTTTTTTAAATGACTTCATAAGACAAAGTCCCGAAAAAGTTTGCTCAGGGACTTATCGGTATATCGATATATAACTGATTGATTAATTAAATTATATGATACATATGCACGTGCGTCCAATAAAAACAAGTTTGTACTTAAGTTTGTAACGCAACGTGATTATAGTTGCACAAAATGAATTAATTGGATGCGAACCAATCGAGGGCGCAGTCATGTGATATACAGGCATTTCAAAAAAATTTAAATTTTACTTTTCGTGCTTTTATTATTATTTTTTTGAATATGTCGCAAAATGATGCCCAGGTCGTTATTTGGAGACACAATTTCCAGAGAAAACAAGAATTAATTTTACAAAGATATTTTAAAAAAATAAAATTATTGTTTGTATTCGTCAAAATTAATTTTAGTTCTCCGGAAATTGTGCACTTAAAAATAACGCCTGAGCGTAATTTTGCAACAATACAATTAGCTTTTTTTTTTTAAAGAGAAGGCCTTCTTAATTGTTATATAAGAGACAACCCACTATCATTAGTCCAGAATAAGCAATTAGACATATTCTAAATTTAGATTCTTCGGTTAACGTCACTCTCTAAGACTCTCGGAAGGGGGCAAGTGTTATCCAACATTTTGATTGGTTGTCCATTTTTCGGAGGAGACTTCAACTGAGGGTGGGTAACGTTAACCGAAGAATCAACTTCGAACGGCCTAAATAATAATCGCAAACCGATTTAAAATGAATTATGGTACTTGAATTAAATTATACAAAAGATATCGAATTATCGAATATATAAAATCTACATTTTCCAATATAAGTCTAAAATTTTATGTTCATCGTGTTTAGGATTTATTATAAAAAAGTTCGTTATAGCAAGCTTTGACTGTAATTGGATTTAGAACTAATCTAAATTCATAAGCCAAATTAACACAAATAATAATTCAATGGAAATTGTAGAGTTCTAAAACAAACTACTTAACTAATATAAATTTAAAATTTCATGTTTGTTGTGTCCAGGGATAATTATAAAGAAGTTCATTATAGTAAGCTTTGTGCTTATAAACGAATCTGTATTCATGAACCAATTGACACAAATAAATAAATAATTTGATAGAGGCTATAAAAAATTGTAGAATTTTGAAATATACTCACGAGTTAAATAACGAAAAGAACTAGTCTGACAAACTACATGTCGTTTTTGTTATAGCGAACTCTTGACATAATAAAGAGTTTGAATTACAGGATTATTAAATTTCAACCGGATGCAAAATATGTTTAGTATTCTCTTAATATAAGTTACAGTGAAGATTTTTGAAGTTTTCATTATAATTATTTGTTTATCGTGTTTTCTTATATTTCTACATCTATTTTGTGTCGAAATATGAATAACGAATAGAAAAGGAAGTATATAGTTAGCTTTCTAGAATGAACTATCAGGTTTATAGTAAAGTCCTTTATAAAAATAATTTTCTATGTTCCTATATAAAAATGTTCGGTATAAAAAATGTTCAAATGTAAAGAAAATTGACTGTTTACATTGCATAAATAAATGAGATCAATGCGAAACAGTCAATAACGGAGTTATTTGAAAATTACTCCGTTATCTGGCTGTGAAATTTGATATGGCAGCCTCTGAGCCCTGAAGGGGCCGGAAATGACATATTAAATTCGCTGCCAGATAACAAGTTATTGGTTACATAGCATTCAATAACGACGACTGAACCAACAGAATGATTCGAGTTATTTGCATTACTTGAACAAGTGGGGCGCTTACCTATGCGCTGGGAGTTTTTTTTTTCTTTTTTTAGCCTATACGGCCAATCAGATTTTTGGGGTCGGGTGTGATCTCATGTCGCTAGCAGAGGTCGGAACCGGTTAATAAGATTCGGATATGAATCCGGTATACCGTCTGAGCAGTATGGTACCTACCCTTTTTGTACTGGTTCCCAGGCCGTTACACATTCAGAGTACGTCACCTGCCAGTAAGGCGCAGGGGGCCCCTGATGTTAACTATCTACTCACTTTTAGAACACTAACACAGGCTACCCTTGCAGAGTTCACCCAGACCCCAGTACTGATTTCACAGCATATCCCTAGTATTTTTAGTATACCCCTGCTTTGAACCCAGACTCCCAATCCAGATAGCCCGGAAGGACTGTGACCTGTCCTTGGTATATTGAGGCCGGCCCAATATCCTTTTCCTCTAGTCCGAAATCCAGCAGCCTGGTTGGTGGTACCCCTCACCCGAGGTTCTTGCCTGCCTGAATCCTTCACATTGGTATCCATTTCCTAGGTCTA